CACACACACACACACACACACACACACACACACACACACACACACACACACTCATTAAATGCACAGAAAAATGCTTCTGAGATCCTGGTTGTGTTGCCTCTTCATAGTTTTTTTTTAAGTCTATCCTAAAGTGTGTGATGTGTGTAAGCTATGCATTAAGTATATGTAATACATCTTTACTATACATACTCAAGTATCTATACTATACATTTAAAAATATTTGCATGAAATCCAATGCTGTGCTTGATGGGGCAGATCTTCAAAAGTGTTCAGATCCTATTTAGCTGCCTAAATGAAGTAGCTTGGTTTTCAGAAGCACTTGGAAAAAATAATAGAAACTAATCTCTTCAGAAAATTCACAGTAAAGGTATTTTTAAAGACAAAAATCTCAAATGCAATTATGTATTCAAGAATTCAGTAGGGCCTACTATAAATTAAGGTATCCATTTAACACTCTATCCAAAATGCCCTCTGCCCTTAGCTACTGCTTACCAATTATAGTCTCTGTGTATAAACATGCATCTCCCTCTCCCCTCCCCCTCTGCAGGGTGACATTAGCTAAACTGACAAAAGGTCCTCTGATAGGTTTATCTACAGAGGAGGTAATACTCATAAGCTCCACATTGTATAGATCCACTCCCAACCCACAGCTTATAATGGCATCACATCCTCAGGCAGACAAGCCTTTATTAGAGTCTAGTCTGGAGAATTAAAAATAACTTTGTAGGTGGACAGGTATCAGCCCTTGTCTCAATGTATTATACAGGACAGGGATGGCTGACCTGCGGCATGGCTACTACAAGTGGGAAGGGCAGGCTCTGTGCGTGGCACGCAGCAGACTGGGGAGGAGGGAGGCAGCACAGTGGCAGCTCTGGCAGGGAGCAGAAAGCAGAGCAGCACATGAGACAGGAAACACAAGGCAGGAAGCAGAAAACAGTAAAGTAGCGGAGAGCAACTGGATGGGACTCGGGGAGGGTCTGGGGTTAACATGTGGCACATCTGCCAAAAAGGTTGCCCCCACACCACAGAGTGTATAAACAGCCACCAGAATATTGTGTGTTGATGGTACCTGATCCAGTTGGAACCAATTCAAACCAGCTGAACTAGCTGGAACCAGTTCAAACTGGTGGCAACCAGTTAAAACCACTTGAAACTGATTCAGATCAGTTGGAACTGGTTCAAATTGGTCAGAACTGCTTCCAATTGGTTTGAACCTGTTCCAATAAATTCCAAACAGTTTAAACCGGTCTGAACTAGTTCTAAGTGGCTTGAACCGGTTCCAACCAGCTCTGAATGGTTGGAACTCGTTCCAAACAGTTTGAACTGGTTTGAACTGCTGCAAACTAATTTGAACTGGTTCTAACCAGTTCTGACTGGTTCGAGACTGAACAAACACCAACCAGTTATGACAAGTGTAAACTGGTTTTGACTGGTTCTAACCGGTTTGAGTTTGAACCAGTTCCAACCTATCTGAGTTTGAAATGGTTCCGGACAGTTTAAACCAGTTCTGACTGGTTCCAACCAGTTTAGACTGATTCTGACTGGTTTGAACAACCTCCAAAAGGTTTAAAATGGTTCCGCCCAGTTCAAACCGGTTCCGGTTCAAACCGGTTTCAACCCGTTCTGACCAGGTCCAAGCAGTTTGAACTGGTTCTGACTGGTTCCAACTGGTTTGAACCAGTTCTGGAACTATTAAAAATCTGGCAAATCTGGAGTCTTCTCCTGAGAGGCTTAAAGGTAATACACTGGGTACGTATCACTTCCATATCTACCTAAAATGATTCACGATATGGCACCTGAATTAGCAGAACATCGACAGTTCACATATATATGTTGCACATTCCTAATTAGATGCCTACAGTAATTACAAAGCTGGGCTGGGGAGAATTCCTGGATGCACTGAGAAGCAGGATGGGTTCGGCTGATGATGGCACAAGACTTCTAGCTCAGAGTAGGGTGGAGTCTAATCCATCAAGTCTTGGACAAGAAAGAAGGAAGCCTGAGACTGTGGCATCCATTTTGCTCCTGATTAGCCAACAAACTCAGTCACCCTTATGCTTCCTACAGGTAGTTGACATGGAAGGATATCCTTGCATTGGCAGCATGCTAGGTGTATAGCACTGGGAATCCACAATGTACCTTGAGATTATACAAGACATTTCAGAGCAAAGCAGAGGATTAAGCCATGCAGCTCCCATTGAAGTTCATGGGAATTATGGGGCTAACCCCCTACGTCAGTGGTCTACAACTCTTCAGGCCTGGGGACTGGAACATCTTGTTTTGGGTCCAAGGTGGACTGTTGTATTGATGTTGTCATGGTGTAGCAGCTAATGCAAATTTTCCATGCCCCTGCCTCTCTCTGCCTCCAGCTGTGGCACAGGCACTGCTCCTTGCCTGGCCCCAGCATAGCAATCACTAACAGGTCCAGAGAGGTCTTGCTCCCCCTCTATGCGGCGCTAGTCAGGCCTCAGCTAGAGTACTGTGTCCAGTTCTGGGTGCCGTGCTTCAAGAAGGGCATGGAGAACCTGGAGAGGGTCCAGAGGAGGGCCACTCGTATGGTTGAGGGCCTCCGTGGTCAGCCCTATGAGGAGAGGCTGAGGGACCTGAATCTCTTCAGTCTCCGCAAGAGGAGATTGAGGGGGGAACTTGTGGCTGCCTACAACTTTATCAGGAGCCACCAGCAGGGACTCGGGGAAAGTCTGTTCACCAGGGCGCCCCTAGGAGTCACCAGGAACAATGGCCACAAGCTGAGGGAGGATAGGTTCAGGTTAGATATTAGGAAGAACTACTTCACTGTAAGGGTGGCCAGAGCCTGGAATAGGCTTCCCAGAGAGGTGGTGCTCTCATCTTCCCTGGAAATCTTCAAGAGGAGACTGGATAGGCACCTGGCTGGGGTCTTATGACCCCTGCCACCCCCAGTGCTCCTTCCTGCCCATGGCAGGGGGTTGGACTAGATTATCTGTCTAGGTCCCCTCCGACTCATTGATTCTATGATTCTACGATTCAATTTGCCACTTAGCAAAGCCCCTATCACCAGAACATCATCCGTGGCTTTGTGGGCTGGATCCAGCCTGTGGGCCGTATTTTGCCAACCCCTGCCCTACCTGACACGGCTGGCTGAGATTTTCAGTGCCACTCAGGTACATGCTTTTTGCTTGTTCCTGTACAGTCCTTGGCCCTTACTAGTCAGGATGTCAGCATGTGACTGCAGATCAACTCCAGCATAATGCAGCACACTGATCTTTGGGATCAGAATAACATAGAAAAAGCCCTGCAGTTACCCTGATACCTGTGTTAGTATTCTAATTGGGACATCAGGAACAAGACAAACCCCAGTGAGGAGCCAGTCGGCTCATCTAAACTGCTTATGAGACTGGCCTGATATGACAGTTTTCAGACAAGTGTATGCAAGTGAACTTTCTCTCTACTATCCACCCAGCTAGGTTGAGTGCCTCAGGAGTGAATCTGGCCCTACATTTGAGAACATCAAAGCACATTTACAGGCCCTTTCCCCTGGAACTGGGTAGCTACAATATGTGAGAGGAGAGGATGAGAGGACCAGAAGTTGTTATTTAGTGAGTCTGCAATATTACAGTAAAACAATCCAGAATGGACTTCCAGGATTTCAAATTCAGGTAGCCTAAGCTGAGGCTGAATTCCTGTTTTTGAATGATAGTTTTTTGGGTTTTTTTTAAAGACTAGCATTCCTTTGTGTATGATACACCCCAGGACAGGTAATACATTTGATCTGACAATGAAATTAACTGAAATGTGCTACGCTCACCCTGTCTCCCAGGCCAATAAGACTAGGACCTACTTTCCCAGACATGCAGAATCCCAAATAAGATTTCTGTCTTAAGAAGCACAAGTCCATTT